AAAACCATAGATATTTTATAATTAGACAAGTGTTCTTTGAAAAGACATAACAATTATACTGACACGAAATACTGTTTTTACTCTGATGATCCCGATTCGTTTGATCACTCGTTTTGGAAGTGCATAAATACAGCAGTTTGTGAAATTCGATTTTAAGTAATTGTATTGTATGATATTCATATTATTATTTGCTGTTGTTGTTGTTCTAATGCTGTTTATTTCTTTATTTTAAATACATTTTTATTTTATACATTTATTTTATTTAACAATATGAAGCCGTGCGTGAAAAAAAAAGGTGCGCATCCTCTTCCCCTCACCGCAAATCCACACAGACTTCAGACACATCAGTGAGCGGCCGCCCGCTCACAGCCAATTGTGACGTGGAGCGCTTGTCATTCAATGGTGACGTGGAGCGCTTGTTATGGCAAGCCTTTTTATCATTTAAACATTTGACCTGACTATCCGTAAATACATTTTAAGATAGGAATAAATCTTTTGTGACTAGTACTAAATATATTTTGACTAGGCGTAAATACATTTAGAGATATCTCCAATTATATTCCGACTAGTCGAAACTCATTTGAAGACATCCGCAAACTATTTAGAGATATCTCTAAATCATTTACGACTAGTCATAAATGTATTTGGAGATATCTCTAAATCATTTACGACTAGTCATTATTCTCCATTGACTTCCATTGAAAATTAATTGCAGATATCTTCAATTGATTTGTGCCTAGTCACAAATGTATTTACAGATATCTCTAAATATATTATCACTAGGCGTAAATACATTTAGAGATATCTATAATTATATTTTGACTAGTCAAAATTCATTTGAAGAGATCCGCTAAACTATTTAGAGATATCTCTAAATCATTTACGACTAGTCATAAATGTATTTGGAGATATCTACGATTATAATTTGACTAGTCACAAATTAATTAGAGATATCTCTAAATGAATTACGGCTAAGTAAAATATAATTGGAGATATCTCTGATTAATTTTATTTAAAGATATCTGCAAAACAGTTAGAGATATCTCTAAATAATTTGTGGCTAGTCAAATTATAATTGTAGGAATTTCAGCGTGTGTTTTATGGGAGACTGCAAAAGTAGTAATGGAAGGTAAAATAATTTCATTCTCATCATTCAAGAAAAAACAAGAAACTAGGAAAGAGCAGGAATTAGAATTCAAAATTAAATCCCTCGAAACTGCTTATACAGACAACCCCCAAGAAAACATCCTGAAAGATTTAAGGCAAACTAAATTAGAACTGAATATCCTAATCAATAAAAAAACTCAATTTCAAATCGAAAGACTACGGCTGGATAACCTCAAACATGCTAACAGGTGTGGCAAATTTTAGCAGGCCTACTAAAAAATAACAAGGAAAAACAAACGATCTCATCAGTAATTAACAAAAATGGACAACTTGTTCACGACCCCCAAGACATTAATAATACTTTCAGGGAATTTTATAAAAATTTATATACATCTCAAATTAACCCATCGCCAACTGAAATTGAATTATTCTTAAAGAATCTGGAATTACCAAAACTATCAAACGAACAGATAGGAAATTTAGAATCTCCAATATCTTCTACAGAACTCCACGAGGCTCTACAACAAATGCCAAATAAAAAAGCACCAGGGCCAGATGGTTATCCAGCAGAGTTCTACAGAGAGTTTTGGCAAGTGCTGGAACCTACCTTTAGCAGAATGGTAGTTGAAATTAAGTCTGAAGGAAAAGTACCATCAAACATGAACTCAGCTTTCATAAGTTTACTCCTAAAACCAGGGAAGGACCCCACACTGCCATCAAGCTATAGACCAATTTCTCTTATAAATGTGGACTTAAAAATAATTTGCAAAGCTATCGCTAAAAAGCTGGAAAAAATTACCCCTCATATTATTCATGCAGACCAAACAGGTTTTATCAAGGGTAGACACTCAACAAATAACATGTACAGACTAATTAACCTGATTGATCTAGCAAACAACACGAGTCTAGAATCTGCCATTATCTCTCTAGATGCAGAAAAAGCTTTTGATAGAGTTAACTGGAAATTTCTAATGGCAACACTTCGTAAATTTGGATTCGGTAACTCTTTTATAGAATGGATCCAAATTCTATATAGCTCTGCGAATGCGTCAGTTAGAACAAATGAACAAACTTCATCTAGATTTAACCTTCAAAGAGGAACCAGACAAGGCTGCCCACTCTCTCCCTCACTATTTGCTATTTTCATTGAACCACTGGCGCAAGCAATTAGGCAAAACATTAAAATTACTGGAATAAGTACAAAAAATATACATCACAAAATAAGTCTTTATGCAGATGATGTGTTATTATTTCTCCTTCATCCACATCTCTCTCTTCCAGCAGCTATTAATGTTATTGAATCATTTTCATCTGTCTCTGAATACTCTGTAAACTGGGGGAAATCAACAGTTATGCCACTCAACACGGTTCTTCAGAACCCTTCCTTCTCCACCACTTTTAATTCGGGGAATATTAAATATCTTGGCATTGAATTCTCACCGAGGCTGTCGGATCTGGTACAACTAAATTACTCACCTCTACTTAAAAGAATAGAGGATGACCTCAAAAGATGGCAACACTTACCAATTTCACTTTTGGGAAGGGTTGCCAGCATTAAAATGATGGTCATGCCCAGAATTAATTATCTGTCATCAATGATTCCTAACCAGCCGTCCCGGGATTAGTTCAAATCATTGGACTCTCATTTCTCCAGATTTCTATGGAAAGGCAAACCTCCACGCATTAGCTTACACAAGCTCAGGAAATCCAAAGACTGCGGTGGCCTGGAGCTGCCAAACGTATACCATTATTTCCTATGCCATAGAGTGGTGCACTTGTACCAATGGATTAATTCTAATTCGACAGAACTCACCTGGCTCGACATTGAACAGACATTTTGCAAAGAAATTAAGATAGCAGATTTACCGTTTATAAGCTCTAAGATTAAACATCACAACTGCTTTCAGAATCTGATCATACGTACTTCACTGACAGCCTGGTGGGAATTTCTTAAGATAACGGGCTCACCGCTTGCTCCTTGCCAGCACACACCAATTTGGAACAACCCAGACTTCTTACTAAACAAAAGGGCAGTATATTTTCCAAATTGGCAAACTAATGGAATAACACATTTTAAACATATAATTGTCAACAACAAAATAATTTCATTTGAAGATTTGGTTCTTAAATACGGATTACCAACTAACAAATTTTTAGAATATCAACAGCACATGACTCTGCAGTTACCCACAATAATTGAACAATTTATTGGGTTGACAACCCCGAGGTTAATATCCAAAATCTATAAATTACTGTTAAAAACAGACAATATTGTATGTGTCCCCACTACTAAATGGAACGAAGAGTTATCTGTAAATGGAAATCAACCATTCTGGAACCGGATATGCTTAAACACGTTTAAAGCATCTACAAACCCAAATTTACAACTAATACAGTATAAAATACTTCACCGAACTCACTACACAGGTCAAAGATTGTTCCAGATGGGTCTCTCGGACACTAACATTTGCCAACACTGCACTAACAATACAGTTGACCACTATCTACACGCTCTTTGGTCTTGTACACCAGTGCAAAAATTCTGGTAAGAAGTCTGCTGTCAGCTAACATCATGGGTTAACCACCTCATTTCACCAACTCCAGCACTGTGCTTGTTGGGTGACCTAGACAGTACACGGTTAGAACTCGAGGCTAACACATCACTATTAATTCTCACTGTTATGCTTGTAGCAAAGAAAACCATTCTTATGAACTGGAAAACGAAAAAGAAACTAATCACGGGGGGCTCTGTGGTCCGGGGGTGGAGGGGTAGGGGGTGTGTCCGGGCGGCGGGGCGGTGGTGTGCTCGGTGTGGCCGGATTGGCCTCTTGGGCGGTGTGGGGGTACCTCTGGGGTCCGTGCTCGCGGGTGCCGCTGCCTTTGCGGCCGCCTGGTGGTGGTCCTGTCCGCTCCCGTGCTGCGGCCGGGGCCCGCCGGGTGGGGGTTGGGGGTGTGGTGGTGGGTGGTGGCTCGGGGACCGGTTGGGGGCTGTGGGGGTTGTCCGCTCTGGGTGGGGCAGGATCTCCTACTCAGGTACTGCTGACTGTGCACACGCGACCAGCAGTTCTTGGACGTGTATGGGTGTGTGTGTGTGTGCGTGTGTGTGCGTGTGTGTGTGTGTGTGTGTGTGAGTGTGCATGTAGAGGGGGGTGTGTTTGGGTGAATGCGTGTGTAAGAGAAAAAAAAAGAACAAAAAAATAATAATAATAATTAATAATTTACATTTTTTGTAATAACGTGAGTTTAATTTGATGACTTGCACTGAATTGAATCATTAGAACAGTTGTGTGTGACCTGAATTGATGGTAATAGAGTGATTTTTATGGGAACAATTGAGCTTTGATCCAAATAATCAAGAATAAAAATGATGCTCTAATAAATTTTTACATTTTTTATTGAAACTGAGTCGTGCAGTACAATATGCAGGTGAGGAGTGGCGTGTTGCTTGATTTTGGTTGTAATAGAGTAATTTAGAATGAAGTTATGAAGCATATTTTAGGTAAAACATATTTTGGATCTGGTAATTTGCAGACGGTCCCTAAGCGATTCCATGTCAGCGGGTTGCGCATAGACGGTAATGTGTTTCTGCGAATGCAGAGGGAAACATGTTTTGGAAAAAATGTTCTGTAGTTTGTCCGCTACATAACACGGATTAAAAATAGGTAATATTTGTTTACTAAGAACATTCTGGTCTCGAGCTATTGAGCAGAGAAAACCGAATCCGTGAATCTGCAGATAACTGCGACAGGATGGATGATCGGCTGATATTGTTTAAAACCCTTGCCCTAGGCCAACGAGGCACGGAGGGTGGGTTTTCATTAATGAGCCATCTGGAAACAAAACTACAGATCCAACTTGGGATAAAATTTACATTTTGAACCATATTTAAAGATGGGCTTGGCCAGGATTTGAACCCAGTACCTCTCACACCCAAAATGAGCATTACGCCCCTAGACCACCGAGCCATGGAGGGTGGGTTTTGTTTGGTGTTCCATCTGGAAACAAAACTACAGATTCAACATGGGTGGAAAATTTGGGGGTTGAACCATAATTAAATCTGGGCTCATCCGGGATTTGAATCCGGGTCCTCTGGCACTAACAGTGAGAATCATACCCTTACACCAACAAGCCATGGAGGGTGAATTTTATTTGGTGGAAAATTTAGGTGTTGAACCATAAAATAGGATGGGCTCTCCCGAGATTTGAACCTGGGACTTCTCACACCCGAAGCAAGAATCATACCCCTACACCTACAAGCCATGGAGTGTAGGTTTTATTGAGTGTTCCATCTCGAAGGAAAACTACCGATGCAACAAGAGTGGAAAATTTACGTGTTGAACCATAATTAAAGTTGTGCTACTATGGGATTTGAACTCTCGCGCCTGAAACGAGAATTATACCCCTTCACCAACTAACCATGGGGATAAGATTTTTTATGTGCCTTATGGAAACAAAACTATAGATGTAACATTTGTGGAAAATGTAGGTGTTGAACCAAAATTAAAGCTGAGCTCACACGGGAATTAAAACTGAGACTTTCTCACACCTTCAGTGACAGTCATACCCCACACCAATGAGCCATGGAGGGTGGGTTTTATTCGGTGTGGCATCTGGAAACAGAACTACAAATGCAACATGTGAGAAACTTTACGTGTTTAGCCATTATTAATAGTGGGCTCATCCGGGTTTTGAACCTGGAACCTCACACACCCTAAGTACAAATCATACAGCTAGACCAACGAGCCATGGATGTAAGGTTTTATTCGGTGTGCCATCTGGAAACAAAACTACAAATGCAACATGTGAGAAAATTTACATTTTCAACCATAATTAAAGCTGGGCTCATTAGGGATTTGAACCTGGTACCTCTTGCACCCTAAACGAGTATCTTACCCCTTGACCAACAAGCCAAGGAAGGTGGTTTTTGTTTGGTGTTCCATGTGGAAACAAAACTACAGATGCAACAAGGGTGAAAAATGTAGGTGTGGAACAACAATTAAAGCTGGTCTCGTCCAGGATTTGAACCAAGGACCTCTCACACCCTAAGTTTTAGGAATGACAGGGTACTACAGGTGTTTCTGTAGGAATTTCTCTACGATCGTGGCACCTTTAACCTCTTTATGCAGTCCAAAAATTCCTTTTTGTTGGACCGATGCGTGCCAACATGCGTTTTTGTGTGCTAAGTCTCTTTTGTGCAGCGCTCCAGTGTTGTCGTCACCTGATTGCCGGAAACCATTCGTACTGGAGGTGGACGCGAGTGCGTCAGGAGCGGGAGCTGTCCTTTTACAGGATGGTGCTGATGGGCTACTCCATCCGGTCTCGTATTACTCTACTAAGTTTAACCAACATCAGTTGAACTATTCTACCATAGAGAAAGAAATGTTAGCAATGTTGTTAGCACTACAATACTTTGATGTATATGTGGGATCGACTTCTGTACCCGTGATAGAAAAACCAATGGGTTATGGTCTGTGAAAACTATCACGGGTGTATAACCATAACCAGCGGTTAATGCGGTGGGCGTTAATGGCACAAAAGTATCACCTCGAGATCAAGCGCAAAAAGGGCAGTGAGAATATAGTTGCTGACGTGCTCTCGGCAGATAGCATATTAAAAACTAATGTTTTTCCTTTTTTTTAGGTGGGGGAGTGTTACGGTCGGTGGTATGAATGCTCTGTTTCTTTTTCCCGTTATACCTCCCTTACTGAGATGTGCGCTGTGTCTGTGAATGGGTGCGTATTTAGGACGTGCACGCTCCTGTAGGCACTCTCTTGCGATCTCTCTCTCTCTCTCTCTCTCGCGTTTGTTTTCCTGTGGGCGTTCACGCGTACTTCTGCTCTCTCGTGCGCGGTCTCGCACGCACTCTCTCTTCCGCGCATTCTCGTGCGCATCTTCCCACTCTCTCTCTCTTTTGCTCTCAGGTCTGCCACACCTGTCCCTCGTCCCTCCTGATTGGGACATAGTTAAAAGACGCCAACGCGAAGAGGAAAGGGGGCCACCAGAACTATGACTTGCGGGCCAGCCCGAGGAGCAGTTTCCGTCTCAGATGTTTCCAAGCTTATTGTCAAATTGTGTTAGCGTATTTTGGTTTGTTTTTTAGAATTACGTCGCTTTGTGTTGAGTGGAGTTAAAATAAATCAAGTTAATCTTGAAATCGGGTCACTCATCCTTTTATGTTATCACCTCTGATTTATCGAGCCAACTCCTTGAAGAGGTTGTAACAGGGGGGTCGGCCTATTACTATAAAATATTTCTGATTGTGTGAATGCACTTTAATGTGATATTGAGCATTATGCAAGATGTGTAAAGCTTTTTTCTTGAGTGCACCTCCAATGCCTGCTTTGTAGTTAACCCTTAGAAGTTCCTGGCACTCTCTTACTTTTGGACCACTACTACTGGCCCTCTATTGGATAGCACATGAGTTGTGACTTCATCCATTCCTGAAGCACAGTGTAGATACCAATCTTTAAAAGTGTACTGTCAATGTAAAGATTAAAATAATTGTTCAAAACATTGTGTTTTAGACTTTTCCCTTAATCTGTCATGATGTTGATATCCATAAAACTGGTCATAAATATTAAAAAATAAAACTATTCAGAGTAAATCATTATTGTAATTAAACCTTTTTAAATGGTCAAAACTTGTGGTGTCGTAAATAATTATTTCATGTTCACATATTCATTTCTAAATAGAATAATAATGTACTGTGTTTTGTGATTGTAATACATTAACAACCAGTAGTGGGCGCTAAATTGATAGAGAGGTTTACCTGGTTACTACGTGTTATTAGAAGAGAAGAGAGCGTTTGTGTAGCGAAGTGTTGTTCCCACAAATAAAGTTATGTTAATTTATGTAAAGTGTCAAAAGCTAACTTTATTTAAAGATCTAATGCCAAATTAATTTAGAGTAAATAATATGAAAATAAAAACATGTGAGAGAATGAAAATAAAAACATGTGAGAGAATGAAAGTAAAAATGTGTGAGAGAATGAAAGTAAAAATGTGTGACGTATTTATACTCTTTCTGGAATCCCTTTTGACACACACACAAAAACATTAAAATAATGCGCTGGCATCACATGATCTGAACTTGGACATGGCACTTTGAGACGGAATAGTTGCTCAGTTTCCGGCGCTTGAGAATTATGGATCAAAATAATCCACGGAAGTCTAGCGCATGATTTCTGATGTTTTTTTCTCTTTCTGAGATGCCTTTTGACAAAATAAAACCTTTCAAAACGACGCGCTGGCATCACATGTTCTGTATTTGCACATGGCACTTTGCGACGGAATAGTTGCTCAGTTTGCGGCGCGCTTGAGAATTATGGGTCAAACTAATCTACGGAAGTGTAGCGCTTGATTTCTGATGTTTTTTTCTCTTTCTGAGATGCCAATTGACAAGTTAAAACGGCTCAAAATAATGCGCTGGCATCACATGATCTGTATTTGCACATGGCACTTTGCAACGGAATATCTGCTCTGTTTTCGGCATTTGAGATCTATGGATCAAACTAATCTACGGAAGTGTAGCGCATGATTTCTGATGATTTTATTCTCTTTCTGAGATGCCTTTTGACACGTTAAAACTGCTCAGAATGATGCGCTGGCATCACATGTTCTGTATTTGCACATTGCACTTTGCGACGGAATAGTTGCTCAGTTTCCGGCGCTTGAGAATTATGGATCAAACTAATCCACGGAAGTGTAGCGCATGATTTCTGATGTTTTTATTCTCTTTCTGAGATGCCTTTTGACACGTTAAAACTGCTCAAATGATGCGCTGGCATCACATGTTCTGTATTTGCACATGGCACTTTGCGACGGAATAGTTGCTCTGTTTCCGGCATTTGAGAACTATGGATCAAACTAATCTACGGAAGTGTAGCGCATGATTTCAGATTATTTTATTCTCTTTCTGAGATGCCTTTTAACACATTAAAACTGCTCAAAATGATGCGCTGGCATCACATGATCTGTATTTGCACATGGCACTTTGCGACGGAATAGTTGCTCAGTTTCCGGCGCTTGAGAATTATGGATCAAACTAATCTACGGAAGTGTAGCGCATGATTTCTGTTGTTTTTATTCTCTTTCTGAGATGCCTTTTGACACATTAAAACTGCTCAAAATGATGCGCTGGCATCACATGATCTGTATTTGGACATGGCGCTTTGCAACGGAATATCTGCTCTGTTTTCGGCATTTGAGAATTATGGATCAAACTAATCTACGGAAGTGTAGCGCATGATTTCTGATGATTTTATTCTCTTTCTGAGATGCCTTTTGACGCATTAAAACTGCTCAAATTGATGCGCTGGCATCACATGTTCTGTATTTGCACATTGCACTTTGCGACGGAATAGTTGCTTAGTTTCCGGCGCTTGAGAACTATGGATCAAACTAATCTACAGAAGTGTAGCGCATGATTTCTGTTGTTTTTATTCTCTTTCTGAGATGCCTTTTGACACATTAAAACTGCCCAAATTGATGCGCTGGCATCACATGTTCTGTATTTGCACATTGCACTTTTCGACGGAATAGTTGCTCAGTTTCCGGCGCTTGAGAATTATGGATCAAACTAATCCACGGAAGTGTAGCGCATGATTTCTGATGTTTTTTTCTCTTTCTGAGATGCCTTTTGACAAAAAAAAAACCTCTCAAAACGAGGCGCTGGCATCACATGATCTTTATTTGCACATGGCACTTTGCGACGGAATAGTTGCTCAGTTTCCGGCGCTTGAGAATTATGGATCAAACTAATCCACGGAAGTGTAGCGCATGATTTCTGATGTTTTTTTCTCTTTCTGAGATGCCCTTTGACACATTAAAACTGCTCAAAATGATGCGCTGGCATCACATGATCTGAATTTGGACATGGCACTTTTCAAAGGAATTGTTGCTCAGTATCCGGCGCTAGAGAACTATGGATCAAACTAAACTTCTATACTGTAGCGCATGATTTCAAATGTTTTTATTCTCTTTCTGAGATGCCTTTTGACAAATTAAGCCAATGTATTCTGTATATGCAGTGAGTGACAGAACAGAGCTCCCTGACATTTTTGGATCCACCTCAAACTCCACTCTGCAGCATGCAGCTAATACCTTTTTTATCAGGGAAGGCTATAAACTGTCAAAGAAATAATATAAATACTTAAATTATTTACATTTTTACCTTCTGTCCTCTGTTTAATTGTTATCGTGATATGTAAGATGGTATTACTTTACCTAAAAACTCCAAGATTCATTATTTTATTCTTACAATGTGTATCTTCAGCAGTTACAGCAGATGATTTATCAGAATCCATGAAAGATCCTGCAAACCAAATCATGTTCATGAAGTCAGGATTCATTGTTGAAATATAATCACTGAAATATAATCAGCATTTACTCTTTTTAAAAGCTCTTAATAGTAGTTTTATTTTATAGTAGCTATTTTATTTATTATCGTTTCAATTCCCCACAACGCCAAACACATGCTGTTAGGTTTATTGAATAATCTAAATTCCCCTTAGCTGTGAATGTTGGAGTAGTCCTACGATGGACTGGTGACCCCCGCTTCTCGGCCGGATCTGCGCTGTAGATAGATATGCACCAGCAGACCCTCGTGACCACGAAAGGGAACAAGCGGGCTGGAAAATGAATATCTTTTCAATATAATTTAACATTCTAATATAAAAATGGACATTTGAACCGTTTGCATAATAGACGGTTTTATTTTGGTATATGGTAAACTAATGCTCCTCGCTTATTGGCTGCTCTGTTCTGTCACTCACCGTTTTTACAGCGATCTGATTGGCTGAAACTCGATGCTTCAGATCTTTTACTGCAGAAATGTATTCTTTTAAGTATATCGATTAGCTTCTGTAGATTATGTCCGAATACACATCTTATTATCTGTAATTTTTCGTTTT